AGAGTTTCAGGTTGGACAAGAAATCTATTTTAGTGGGATTACCCTGTCGTCATCGTTGTTGCGATAACAAAATATGGAACTTTTTGAAACGCACATTTCTCGCGCTTAGGTAACAGAGAGTCCACATCTTGCAAATACCGTCTTCTCGTTGGGAGCAGATTCAGTGGAGTTTGTCTCAAATCTGGGTGCTAATTTGCGGATCAAGGAGCTAAAAGCCTTAGGTCACTAACTTACCTGGCGATCGGGAGCGAGGTCAAGATTGAGCCCCTGTGATCAGAGGCGCCACTTGTTTATCGTGTCGTGAAATCGCCCGTAGTGCGGAACTTTTCGTTTGACGGCGCGGGAATGGAAATTAAGTGGCGGCTGCCTCTCTCTCTCTCATTTCTGCTCTGGGGAGCAGTCAAAGGACGTCAGATGTAACGTCGACCCTTGTATGATTGTCCTCCATTCTCCCGGAATCCTTGGGCCAATCTTCCCCGCCTTAACCGGCGCGTCGGGCTAACTTTTCACTCTCTTTTTTTGGTGAGACAAGAAGAGGGAGGATAAATTCCGCTGACCATTCAGGCTCTCCTCGTGATGAGATCCTCGAGCTAGCGAATCAACGGTCTCTTAGTGTCTCTCGTTAGGCCGATCACCAGGGCCAGGGGTACCTTGCAGTGGGTACGCTACTGGGACAATCTTGTCTTGGGGCGAGAACGTGCAAGTGTCTGCTTGGCCAGTCTCGTTACCCAAAATAAGCATTCTTTGCGCCACGAGCAGGGTCTATACGAACCGACTTGCATTCGATCTGCACGTCGCTTCAGTCATTGATTGATTTCATATGTAATATTGCAGCCTCAAGTTGGCTGCAACAATAAGCACCAAAGGTTCCCCCTCACTGTCACTGCAGCGGTGAACTTGGAGAACAGGGGAAAATGTATAAGCACGTCGCTTTAAATCACTCAATCAGTCAGGATCTTTGACTTTTTCTCATGCACGTGAGCTCTCTTCTCTCTGTCTCACGTCATCTATCCCGCACACGTGTATACGAACCCCTCTAGGCATCAGATCAGTCAGTCAGTCACAGCCAGACCCAGACCCAGACCCAGACCCAGACCAAGGCAGACCCGGCCCGGGCAGCCCAACACACTAACCTCCAAGTATCTACCCCAACGCAATAAATGACGATGTACTTACACTTGGCCTTTGTGGCTGCATCTTACTGACATCCACTGATTGGTCTCGCCGTTTCAGCTTACAGGGGTCATACTGTACATACGCACATTAGCCTGCAGTAAGGTCTTTGCTGTACTGTGTTCGGGGCTAACGACGGCCAATCTCGTGGTGTGTGAATTATCGAGATGGCAGTTCAGTGCCCTCTTGAAACTAAAACTTGGTGTACGTACAGCACAGCACAGCCTGGTCCAGCCGAACAGTCAGTTTAGTTGAGTTTGCTTCTGATTGCCCAAGCGTCGACGCCTCAACTGAACGGGCCAATGTAACTTGCAGCTCCCGGCACCCGATGACTTTTTCCGCCTGTGCGTCTTTGTTCAGCCCGTCCCTTCATAAAATGTCCAACTCTGTTTTTTTCTGACCCATCCTGTCCATGTTTAGTAACGCCCGAACAGACAGAATGGGTGTGCACACTGCATCGGGCTGCATATTGTGCACGTTGACTGCATGTACCTATTTAGGGGCGTCGTAAATAAAACCGAAATCAATAAATATGCATCCTCCGTCTCCTAGCCCTTTTCTTCTCCCTCTCCAGCCCGCTCGTTCACTCACTCCCTCTCGTTTCTTCTCTCTTTTTGCCACTCTTGGTTTAGGCTTGTGACTGTCGCTTATCTCTCCTCCAAGATGAAGTCTTTCTACACCTTGGCTTTGTGCCTTGGTGCCTTCTTCAACGCAGCCACTGCCATCCCACCAGAGGAGCAGGGTCAACAGCCTGGGAAGTTCGCTGCTGCTCCCCCAGTTGGCTCAAACCCCATTGACCGCAAGGGGTGGACTGTCAAGTGTTCCAGCCAGGCTTCAAATTACCCCTGTGGTAGAGCCATCGATGGTGACAAGAACACCTTCTGGCAGACTCCTTATGGCACAACCAACACGCCGCCTCCTCACACCATCACCATTGACATGAAGCAGACCCAGTATGTCAGTGGTCTCCAGATTACACCTCGCCAAGACGGCAACACCCGTAACTGGATTGGTCGCCATGAAGTCTACCTCAGCTCTGACGGTACCAACTGGGGAAAGCCCGTTGCCTTTGGAACTTACTGGGGAGACAAGTACCCCTGGATCACAAACTTTGAGACTCAGCCTGCTCGCTATCTTCGCTTTGTTGCCCTTTCTAACGTGAACCCCGACTATCCTTGGATTGCTATTGCCGACTTTGTTGTCTACAACGCTCTCAAGTACAACCCTCCTGCTAAGGGTCTTGGAAAATGGGGTCCTACTCTTGATTTTCCCGTCATCCCTGTCGCTGGTGCCGTTGAGCCTGTCTCCGGAAAGGTCGTCATCTGGTCTGCTTACCGATATGATGCTTTCCAAGGCACCACTCCTCGTGGTGGCTTCACTCTCACTTCTATCTGGGATCCCAAGACCAACGTCATCTCTAACCGCAATGTTTCCAACAACCATCACGACATGTTCTGCCCTGGTATTTCCATGGACGGTGAGGGACAGATTGTCGTCACTGGTGGCAACGATGCCAAGAAGACTACCATTCTCATGCCTGATGGTAACTGGGTTCCTGGCCCTGACATGCAGATCGCTCGTGGTTACCAATCTTCCGCTACCTGCTCTGATGGCCGTGTTTTCACCATCGGTGGTTCATGGAGCGGCCCCCGTGGCGGCAAGAACGGTGAAATCTATGACCCCAAGGCCAAGACCTGGACCTCCCTTCCCAAGTGTCTCGTCGGCCCTATGCTTACCAAGGACAAGGAGGGTGTCTACAAGGCTGACAACCACGCTTGGCTCTTTGGCTGGAAGAAGAACAGTGTTTTCCAGGCTGGTCCCAGCACAGCCATGAACTGGTACTACACCACCAGGGGAACTCAGGGTGACACCAAGGCTGCTGGTACTCGCCGAAAGAATGGCAGAGTTGACCCTGACTCCATGAACGGCAACGTTGCCATGTTTGATGCCCTCAAGGGCAAGATTCTCACTTTCGGCGGTGCTACCAGCTACCAGCAGGCTCCTGCCACTGCTAACGCTCACGTCCTCACCATTGACCAGCCTGGTGCTATCGCCCAGACCGCTCTCGTTGGAAACAACGGTGCTGGTATTCACGCTCGTGTTTTCGCTACCTCTGTCATTCTTCCTGACGGAAACGTCTTCATCACTGGTGGTCAATCTTACTCCAACCCTTTCACCGACACCAACGCTCAGCTCGAGCCCGAGATGTTCATTTCCTCCTCCAACACATTCACTAAGCAACAACCCAACACTATTCCCCGCACATATCACAGTATGTCTCTGCTGCTGCCAGATGCTACTGTCTTTAACGGTGGCGGTGGTCTTTGCGGTGGCTGCAAGAGCAACCACTTTGACGCCCAGATCTTCACCCCTCAGTATCTGCTCGATGGCAACGGTAACCTTGCTACCCGCCCCAAGATCACTGCTGTTTCGGCCACTACTGCCAAGGTCGGCAGCACCATCACCGTCGCTGCCAACAGCGCCATCAAGAGCGCTTCTCTCATCCGATACGGAACTGCGACACATGTTGTTAACACTGATCAGCGCCGCATTCCTTTGGCCCTGACAGGTGCTGGTACCAACAAGTACTCTTTCAAGATTCCCAATGATTCTGGTATTGCCCTCCCTGGCTACTGGATGCTTTTCGTCCTTAACAACGCTGGTGTTCCCAGTGTTGCCAGTACCATTAAGGTCACTAACTGATCTAATGCCTACATTGCGACAAAATGATTTTTTTGCATTTATAATACTAGCGAGGATAGTACAAGTATCCTAATTCATTATGTATATACTTTGATACCAATTGCAGTTGGATATATTGACACGGACGTCACTTTACTATCTAATACAAACCTCTTGCATGAATTGTCTGTTTTGGATAGCTTCATATGTGACTGCACTTCTCAGAATGGTGATGAACCAACTGCCGAGCTGACACTAGAGACAGTAGAACCGTATTCAAATGCTGATAAAGTTTATCTTCAGATCCATGCTAACCTTCGTGACCGGGTCATGCCGTAATCTGTATAGCCCCGTGAACACGCAATACGAACCAAGAGAAGTTAATATTGTTTTAGGCCGACGTTTGATCCATTGCGCTGGGATATCCCAACAAACCAAGAACATGGGTTTCTTGAGACATTTGTCTATTCAGCGACACTAGTGGCCATTGAGTTTAAAAGAACCCGGGAGCCAGGTTCACAACGCTCACAATTAGAGTTTTGAGGCTTCACGGGTAATGGCTGCAGAAACATTGCACATGACACTATCAGACGACAGAAATAGATACATTGCGTGTCAATATGTTGCGACCCTGTGGCTAACCCGAATGCAAGCCATGTTCGGCACGTACGGGAAAGCACTTCGTTCCTGCAGAGACATGCAGGTGGCTTAAGCAGGTTCCGGACGAAGTACTCTCGGACTATGCGTAAGTTATGCAGCTGACTGTCATTCATAAATGTGGCACAGACGGGAGGACGCTATGTAAGACTGAGGACCAGTAAGTGGCTCGTGATAGGTGTCGTCAGGATGACAGACGACATGTTCACGCCGATGACATAGCTTCTTTACGAGACAATTATAAGACATTTAGCACTAAAAGCCACTAGCCATAGCGGGAAATATCCTATTTGTTGAGAATGATTGCATCGTCGTTGTTGACAGCTTCATGGTGTTGTACCGTTCATGTCTGAGATGACGTTCCGACAGCTGGGCTGCGCAAATAACATCAAATAAACTAGACGATAACAGCGTATAAGTATAAAGCATGCAAGTAAAGTCGCCTTCTAATTTTAGTACCATACTCATGCCATCGAGCTCCAAAGCGCCTACTCAGACTTCTTCAACCTCGCCTCCAGCATCGCAGTGCATCCATAGGCAGATGGGTAAATTTTAACCAACTCCAGACCAGCAGCTTCAAAAATCTCTTCGAAATCGGCTTTCTTCTTTTCTTGGCCAGTCATGGCGAGAAGTGCAAAATCGAGCCAGTACAGATCTGTGAACTTGTCTTTCTCGACCATGTCAGGAATCAGCTGGTCGCATATGATCAGACGGGAATCGGGCCCCATGGCTGATGCGGTGTTCTTGACGAATTCAATACAGACTGGCGTATAGAAGTCGTGAAGGAAGCGGCGCATAAAGTAAATACGGGCGTCTGCGAAAGATCAGTCGTTGCTATAAACCAGAGTCGTGGCTACGATGCGCTTATCGACTCCGGGGAGTCACTTACTCTTAACAGGCTGCGGTGTAAAGGCATCATACGTCATAAGTTCAAATCCTGGATAGTCCTTGGGATCCATCGAGTCAATGACACCAGGGAGGTCCTGTAGGATATACTTCGCGTCAAAGGCATCGCCAATGTCTTTGCGGATGGCAATGCACGACTGACCACGACCGGCACCGATATCCACCAAGAAAGGTCGTTCAGGATCCTGAACCACTTCGTCTTTGAGTGACGCAAAAGGAAACATACCGACGACAGGCATCAGCTCATCAACAGCTACCATGTTGGCATTCCAAAGCTCACGTCGCTCAGGGTCAGGATCCATCTCTAACAGCTCATAGTATGACTTTCCAAGGTGCTCCTTCCCAACCGAGTACACGGCAGGGGACTTGGTGAGATCAAAGACATCTTCAGGCTTGTGAGACTTGAGGTACTCAGGAAGATGCATCCAAGCACGGCTAAACTCCAACACAATCATGAAAAACGAACCCAACCCTCTTGGGTTCAGAATCCGTGAAAGGTCATTATGAGCATACGCATCAGGCGCCGTCTCAACAAAAACACCATGACTAACAGCAACACGGTAAATGCGCTGAATCACAGTAGTAGCAACATTGGTAATGCGAGCCAATTCCTCAGCGGCGATGGGACTTCCATCTTCGGGCATGGCGTGGTATGCCCGGATTCCAAGAACGGTATGGAAAGCGCATCCGAGACTGAGTTGCTCCATTAGGTGTGTCATCTGATCCATGGGATCCTGGAAAGCTGAGCGAACTGCTTCTGTCTGCTTGAGGACATTTTGGTGGCTGATGGGGTCATCCTCGTACGATTCGAGCTGGGCGACTAGTTTCTTTGCCTCTTCAAGGGCCTTTTCGGCTTTGGGATGCACCATTGTCGTTATTTGCGATTTCAGAGATATCGAGATGTGGCTCGGAGGATTCAACTTCTGGGTCTAGATTTGCGGAGATGGCAACGGTCACCGCATGTTCCGTAGACCATGTGAATAGCATATTCACTTAAGAGTGTTCCAGGCGGGGCACCACCTAAAGCCAAGAAAGGGCTCAGATCATATCAGTCCATGAGCCTACGCTTCCTCACAAGACAGGTTAGTAAGTGGGTATATATCCAGCCGAGGTTCTGTTATCCCGGGTAAAGTGCCTCAACCATGCAGATCACGACCCAATCAGAATATTATATCCGTGATAAACTGGAGTTTGAACTGCGGCACGGCCCAAGTGACGGAGGCTTGGTCCGGTGGCATGTATCGCAGTATCGAGGATGATTATCACTATGGCGAGTACGTTTCGATATTTGCTCAACTTCTCTTTTTGAGCGTGTCCACTTTGCATGATTCTGATACACAAACGATTGTGATACCAACAGTGTCGCAATGTCGTCTCCTCGTGCTCCCGAAGAAGAGGTTATACAGCCTGACACTGTAAGTTTATTCCCTGTAGGGCTGAAATTGTACTAAACGGATTTGTCTAGGCTTTACAGAGTGTCACTGACGATGAGGTTGGTGGACCCAACGATGCGACTCATCCAAATGGCTCCACTTGCTAATCAATGTGATGGAACATAGGCTTATGATAATGAGAGTGAGCGGTCGTCTTTGACATCTCTGACATCGTCTATTCTACATGGAAAGGTCGAGGGCGGAAGAACCTACGCCGTGTATGGCAAAGAGGGCAAGTCTCACAGAGCACATCGCTTGGCCAGTGCTAACAAACTTCAGAATATGGATTGCCAATGGATGAGGCTGAGCTTGATCGCATCGATATGTGTCATGCTAAATACTGCGCTTTGATTGGAAAGAACCGTTACTTGGCGCCTCTAGAGAAGCCTCAGAGAATTCTGGATCTTGGCTGCGGCACAGGTTCGTGAAGCCTAATTCTTCTGCGACGAAAGCATTATATAGACCAGGAATTACCTGCTGACAACGTTGATAAAAGGAATATGGTCAATCGAAATGGCGGAAGAGTTTCCATCTGCAGAGGTGAGCACAGGATCTTGCTGCCGTGGTTACATCGGGTGAGCTGTGATTGACAAGCGCCCAGGTCATTGGAACGGATGTTGCACCGACACAACCCGACTGGTAAGTGATCGATGCGATAACAACTGTGAGACTTTCTGAAACTGATGTCTGACAGGGTACCACCAAATTGTCACTTTGAGGTCGACGATATTGAAAGAGAATGGACCTGGAAAGAAGATAGCTTTGACTTTGTTTATGCCCGAGATCTTCTGCTGGCAATTCGAGATTGGCCGGCCCTGATTGACCAGACATACACGTAAGACACGGCTCTTCTCGCATGCGATATTCATACTAATTCGACCAGACATCTTAGAGGAGGCGGCTGGGTTGAGTTCCAAGCCATCGTCGGCGTTCTCGGCTGCGACGACGACTCCATCCCCGAGAACAGCTATCTCCGCAAATTCTCAACAATGATGGAGCAAGGCTCTGCAAAATTTGGCGCCAGTCTGACAGACCCCATGCGATGGAAAGGCTGGCTCGAAGAGCGCGGATACCAAAATGTCACAGAGCGAGTTTTCAAGCTTCCTTTCAACCCTTGGCCTAAAGACCCGCGAATGAAACTCCTGGGGGCTTGGGAGATGGAGAATCTGCTAAGTGGACTTGAGGCCATGGTAACGAGAATGTTTCAGAAAGGTCTTGGATGGACGGATGCTGAAGTCACTGTCTTCCTTGCATTTTTGAGAAAGGAAATTAAGAATCCAAGAATGCATGGGTACTGGCCTTAGCAAGTTTCCCCTGAGAACCTTCGCTTACTCTCAGGAAGCAAGTTTGGTTCTTTTGATAATTCTAACATTTCTATAGCTATGTTGTTTACGCTCAGAAGCCAAAAGAGGAATGATGACAGTAAGACCGAAGATTTTGTCTACAGTAGAGTCACCGTGTGCATCTAAAGATAAGGTATTAGCAAGCAAACCGCCAATACTACATCTTTGACGAGAAACTCAATTCGATAATTGGCATTCTGTTTATTTGACTCTCGATTACCCTGTAGATTAGGTTTGTCATGTCTTGCGAGTCAGGGTCACATTTGACGCTTAGACCTTTCCCCTGTTCCTCGCGTGGCGATCAGGGGTAAGTAGAATTAGGCCATTGCCTCACGGAGCTATCTTTCTGGCGTTTTTCGAGGGTTTCTCTGTCAGTAATTATCTTTTCTTCCCCCTTGGGACTATGGAGTAGATTGCTCAAAACCAGGGGAAGATTCCGTGACCCTGCAGGCCTGCGCTTAAGTTTGATTGATGCTTCATCCAGCTCTAGCATAATCCTCCTGCCCTAAGACGTCATTTGATGCCTAACAGAGATAGATGCCCTCGCATCTATGCGTCTTGATTACATAGGAAAACCAATCTGAATGCCAAAGATCACTATGGCACAAAGCATGCGTTATCTTGCAACAGTTTTTGACAGATCGATTTCATTGCACTAGCATGACTCAATTTGGCAACGTGATGAGCCGCACGGTTATACGCCAACGCATACAATTCCCAGACTCCACAGAAATCTATTATGCTTATCCAAAACCGTCATACTGAATGAACGTCCTTTCGGACGCCAGCCGAGCCATCAAAGGCTGTCCCAGAATCAAGGAAAAGGAGATGGAAATGAGCGAAGTTTCGTTATCTATTGCGATATTCCTCTGCACGGGGCGCTTTTGTCATGGGCGCTCAAATGTGCCCTCAAGATACAGGTGTAATTAAACGAAGTCGACGGTGGATCGGCGTTGCATTGGCGAGAGTGCCATCCCGAAGATCCCGCGTCATAACCATCTAATGAACACACTATCATGTGAAGAAAATATCAGTCAACAGTCAATTGAGACATTCAGATTTCTCTTGCACCCTTTGAAAACTCCCAGATGATGGGTTTACTGGAGGATTTATCAGATGTTGAGTTGCAGCCTTACATGTAACAAAGGAAGCTATCCCCAACTCTCGAGACCCCTGCAGCTCGACATGACCGATGATACGCCAGAGTCCCATCGACGTCATCCTTCCAGCAACACAAAACGACGATCTCTAGCGGAATCCAACGTTTTGTTTATTGCGATCGACTCGGCAGTTGGCGATGTTTCATCGCTCCACCATCGCGTGATTCAACACCAACCATGGAGCCAAACAGAGCAGCGATGAACTATTCCCCCAGTCCATCCCAACTGTCGGTTTCATCCGATGTGCAAAAACGGCCTGAAGATCTAACTCTCGCTTATGCCGTGTAGTATCGTCTCCTATCTAGGGTCCATCATCTATCTCTGGCTCAAGATGTATATAAGAAACTCCAAAAGTCAATCTGTCTGGACATTCACCCAACCATCAACTCGCACTTCTCAACCCAGTCACTCTTTTTTTCCAAAGCAAAATCTCACCAAGTCACTCTTTATTTACTTACGCTTTTATTCATCATGAAGTTCAGCCTTTTCTCCCTCGTTGCTCTGGCCACTTCGGCCATGGCTGCTCCTGCTGCTCAGGTTGCTGCTCGTCAGGTCCCAGCTGTCCCAACTGTACCAGCTTCTCCCAACGGAGCTGTCACCCAGGTTGAGAGCATCGCCACCTCTCAGACCGTCACCAAGACAGTGACCAAGAAGATCACTGCTGTCAGCGTTTCCAACACTGGCGGTGTTGTCAAGGTTCTCACCATTGCCGTTGAGCAGGTCAAGAGCCAGACCACCACCATCAGTAAGCCAACCCAATATAGAATTCGGGTTACATAGATTACTAACAACATCTTCAGAGGAGGTTATCACCAAGGTCAAGTCCAACGCCATCTCCAAGGCTGCTGCCGTTAAGGTCGTCACTGCCGAAGTCCACTCCCTCAACGAGCTCCTCACCGCCGTTGTCAACCAGCTCAAGGATGTCGTCAGCATCAAGATCAACGTCCCCGACGTCAAGGTTATTCTCGGCCTTGTCATCCAGCTTCTCCACGAGCTCGTCGGTGTCGCCAAGGAGGTCCTGAGCATCCTTGGCCTCGACAACGTCATCGGCAGCGCTTTCGAGCTTCTCTTCCAGACCGTCGCCACCCTCCTCGGCCTCGTCACCCAGCTCATCGGCGACATCGTTCCCGGTCTCGTCGACATCCTCTCCAACATCCTCGACACTCTTTCGGGCACTCCTCTTGGACCCATCATCCAGCCTGTCTCCAACATCTTCGATGGCCTCACTGGCTACCTCACCCAGGGCACTGCTTAAGCGACACGTTCAAGATATGAGACCAGGGTATGCCGGATATGCCCCTTAGAAGACAAGACAAGCATAGAGGGAGTTTAGACAGTGGATCTGGTTCAAATCATGCATAATCTTAGTTAATTCAATGCTGTATATTAATTCATACGACCTCTTTGCTAAAGGAATGTCCATAACTCCGTCTCATGCTGCCATAATCATCTCAGCCATTAGTCCATTATCATCTCGCGCCCATTCATGCATTGTTAAATATGACCTTGTGTGTTGCGAAATCTTAGTTGCAAACAGTCTTGTAGCTGCTGAAGTGAGAAGAAGTCTCGCGACACTGGTCATCCTTGACAGTCTTCTGTCCACGCTTGCAGTTGCTGTCTGTGAAGAGAAGAACTATGCACATGTCAGTAAGTCTTACATCTTTAGGGGTGAAGTAGTTCTTACGCTTGCAGCCTTTGGCATGCTCATACTGGCTCACAGACTTGACCTTGTCGATGAACTTGAAGCATTCGTTGAGCTCATCACGATGCGTGGTCAATTCGCCAAGATTTCCATTGTTGTTGTCGCCTCCGCAGTCCTTAGAGCTCCAAATGCGGGCAGAAATGACGTTGAAGGGAAGATCTTTAGAGGCAGGCTCAGCTGCGACGCCCATGGCGAGAGCAGCAGTAGCGATGATGGTAGCAAAATGCATTTTGGTGGTTGAAGGGTGAGGATGTGAAGTGTGAGCTAAAGTGTTATAGTGCGGGGTGATTGATGGCTGTTGAGTGATGACGAGAGTTTGGCCTATTGCGGGAATAGAGTCGACTTTAAATACAATTGAGATGGTCGACGCAGCTTTACATTATACTAAGGCAACAATGGGCCAAGAGAGAAGATCACTACGTCAAGCCTGTGGCTGTAAGTGTCTGATGCTTCTGGAAGTACAGCTGAAAATTGAAGCCCGATACAGAACCAGCCGCGATACGAGCTGCACTGTCAGCGCTAGCAATACAGCAGTGTGAGCCCACTACAGCTCGTATCGTTTCCAGCACACGGCCAAAACCGATCAAGCAAACGCTTTTCCCAATCATTTTCACAGAGAAATGCCTCCGCTGCTATCAGAGTCGATCAGTGGAACTTGAGAAATATGCAGCAGGTATCATGTGCCGGGGAGGGACTGTGCCGTGTCAACGCACCATGGCCCTATTGGGACGATCCATGTGATGCTGGTGATGTCAAATACGAGCAGTGACTGTAACCCTCTCGAAGATCTCTCTCACTTCACTTCACAGCACAGCACAGCAAGGCGATGCAAATCTCGTGTATGTATCAGAACCTCAGAATCAGAATTTAGGGTATCCATGAGTCCCCTCCTATGCTTATTTATTCTATGACGCGGCCATCTCCATGCCTCCCGATTGATCGCCTCCAAGCGTCGACACCTAAATTTAGTAGTCACGGCTAAAACCTCCGACCCCACGTCGAGATAGTTTACATCATCGTCCCCCGCATTTCCCGCCGATAATCCGGTTCTGATGGAATCTCACGATACTCATCATGCGGGAGCCGGTTCATCCGCTGATTCTGCTTCCACGCGTCACATCGTCAAACACGACGTATCTGCAATGCAACATGAACCAAAGTTCTCGAAAGTTGGTCACGCTTCTGTTCGGGTATCACAAATCTTGGCTGCCTTGATCCATAAGGTTCTGGAACTCCGCTTATTCATATAACCATGTTTGGATCAGCATACGAGCTAGAACTTTTGCTGTTTTATTTTTAACCTTGCGCTTCTATTGACGACCGATTCACAACATCCTCCGTCCACTCCGCCTTGAGAGTATTCATGTCTCGTTTGCTTGCAGGGTTATCAGGTGGCACAGACAAGGGCGGCCGATGATGCACTAGCGGTATGCAGTTATCACTCGTTTTCTGGGAACAGTCCATTTTAATACATGATATATAGTGATACAAACGTCTTGCAACCTTATCCTCATCTTCACCGTCTTCTGCAGCAGCACCAACCCAGCCATTTTATGCGTTGGGGAGAGCGACCTTGAAAGCTGGCATGTTGGGCCTGCACCTCGTACCAACGTCTGGAAGAGTGCCGTCAACAAAGTAAGCGGCAATAGCATCAAGAGTACAGTTAGAAGCATGCGATGTGACTCCATGCTGTAGATGGTTAGCTTGAAATCCTCAAAATGATGGGGAAAGACTTACACCAACTCCCTCATTAATCAGTAGTCGACTCTCTCTGAAGCGAGAAGAGACTTGCCAAGCATGGTTAAGAGAAGTGATAGGATCGTTTGCGTTGTTGACAACAAGAACTGGGAAGCTCGTGTTGACGTTTCGAAGCGTGTTGGTATCAACGCCCTCGGCAGCATCGAACTTCCAAGCAGCGCAGGCCACATAGTCAGCAGCGATGGCATCTCCGAAGGAGCTTCCAGCGAGATGAGCTTGGTACATAGAGTAGAGGTCCTCAGGGTTGCTGACACGGAACGAAGACTCGGAACAAGCAATGCCCTGGAATGCGTTGGTACCAAGGTTCCACTCAGATGTATCCTCCTTGTAGATACTGAGAGCCTTCTTGTAGTCTCCGTCGAAAGCGTAAGAGAGAATTTCCACCACTGAGGGATAGTTGAACGGGCTCGACAGCAAGTTCATGATACCGTACTTCAACTGCTTCAAGATAGAGTTGCCGGCGTAGGGATAGTCCTTGGAAGAGAGACCATCAGGCAGAGTCTTCAGGTCCTTCAGCTTCTGGAAGGTCTCAACTGTCGCATCTCTCAAATCCTCAACAGTAGTGCTGCTACCAGAGTAGTTGGCCAGCATACAATACTTGGTGCCGAGCTCAACACACTCAGTAAACAAATGCACAAGTGACTTCTCAGCATCGTGAGGTCCACCAACACCAGTTGACGTGAGGTACGCATCAGCCAAAGAGTTCGAATCGAGAAGAAGGCGGCCAATGCGATCAGGAAACATAGCAGCAGCGACTTGTCCAAGGATAGTTCCGTAGGAAATGCCCCAGAAGCGAAGCTTACCATCTTCACCGAGAGCATCGACGATCTTCATCATGTCGCGGGCAGTGAAGGCTGTGCTGAGGAAGCGGCCGTGTTCCTGCTGGGTTTCGTAGCAGGACTCGGCAATAGCTTGCATGATCTGCCAGCCTTCGTTCTTTACATATTCCCAAAGATCTGCTTGGGGCAGTGGTTCAAGGCTGCGGCGGGTGAGTTCAGCAGAAGCATTCTTGCCGCAGGCGAAGGGGATGGTTCGTCCAACGCCTCTGCGCAGAGTTAGTGTAGCTCAATTTAGTAGACGGGAAAAGCATACCGAGGGTCAAATGAGATGATGTTGTGGTGGCCGCCCATGATGCTAGAAACCGTGTCAGTAGCTCTTGATAATGCGATAGGGGCTACTCACTCGCGGAAGTCCTGTCCGAGATAAGCGAGAGTCTCGATGCCAGAAATTCCCGGGCCGCCGGGGTTCCAGAGAACGCTGCCCTTGAAAGGTTCCTTGGTAGCATTGTAGCGGAGCAATTGAAGCTCAACTGTCTTATCAGACTTTTTATCCGTATAATCCAGCGGAACTTCGATAGTCGCACAATCACCAGCCTTCAGCAGCTCCTTTGCCGCATCAGGAAGATCGAGCTTACAAGGCTCCCACTTCAGCGATGATTCCGCACGAGCAACGAGGGAATCAGCACCATTTGTCGCGGTTGCAAGGCGCGACGCGCCGAGGAGGAGAGGACCAAGAAGAGACTTCATCTTTGCTCCGACACGTTTTGAATGGTTGACAAGAGGAGTCTGAACAAAGTCCATGAGTTCGCAGTGCACGGATGGGAAATCTCGGCGTGATATAAAGTGATGTGAAGTGGAGGCTGCAGGGGTACAGATCCCAGCGGACGGAGACGGAGACGGAGGCGGAAGTATCCGTCGATCAAGATCCTTGAGATTTAATTTAAGAATTGATCCTTTTGATAGTCAATCAGCTTTTGTCATGTCATCATCGGGCGACACCGCGACAAGGACTTGTTTATGCTGTGCAACATCGACAGGCCCGATTTGATGGGGTGCCAATGGCGACAGTAGACAGACAAAGCTAAATAAGAAAGAAAAAAAGCCAACGTCACTTGTTTATTTAGACGCTCGCAAACCAACAACGACTGTCATAGTTCAATCTGATAAGGCTCGGCACATCGTCCAAATCCTCGCGCTAGGTGGGCGGGTTCTGCTAATCTCCCGAGCCTGTCAGCAGAGAAAATTGAAGCGGAAGGATCTCTTGGCGTAAGCAAGGCTCCGACATCCTATCCATTCAGCACGTTCAATTGCCAATTTGCGTACATAAGAAGAATGACAAATGCCGCGGTCTTTTGTTCATCGTCACGCGGCGACATCACCTAAACTAAGCAGACTGTCAGCTTGGGGGCAACCAGGGACCAAGAGCCTTAACGCCGTCACTTGTGAACAGCTGCTCAGCCATGTCATGTACCAATGGTATGCAAAAAAACAAGACAAAACCCCAACATAAGATTAGGCGCCTACGAGGGGTCGTAGTGAACGTAAGGAAAAAAGAATGCGGTTTGTGTGGATCGAACACACGACCTTCAGATATCGTTTGATATGGATTGAAGTTTTGACTTCAGTCTGACGCTCTCCCAACTGAGCTAAACCCGCTGACTAATAACTGATAGCGCTCGAGCCGAAATTTGAAGCTATATATGCAACATCTCTTTGCTGGCAGTCAATGATGCTTCTTGAGATTGTTTGGTAGCACCCTCGTACAGCGCTCTCATTTAGGAAACTTTCTTCTTTGACGGCATGGATGTGTGACTCAAAAATGTGGTGAGCTCGAGGTAATTGGCTCATTAGGGAGACTCAATTTGTATTCGCTCCCTCTATCCCTCAGCCTAGCCTCTACCCATGGGTTCAACCATTGTCCTTACCCAGTCATAGCTCAAGCATCTAGAACATTTACAATAGAAATATGTGATTCGGCGTCATGATCAATCTGGACCCTCAGAGGTCTATGCAGACGGCGACCCGGCTTTGCGTCGTGCGACCGTTAAAGACTCCCATGGCTACACCTCAAAGTACAGGTCATAATGGTTTCTGCATCCCGGATTGAAGCCAGCATCACATCCAGGACATCGGTTGCCGCTCCCAAGATACTCTGAAATGGTCAGTTCCAGGCGACAGTTGCCGCACAAGACGGCTAACTCATGCTGCTCTGCCTGGGACCAGACTTGATTGGGATGTCCTGCTAACTCTTCATGACAGCTGATACAGCCGTAGTACTCCAGGCAGCATTTGTGCCGGATCGCAATGATGTCAAGATCTGAAGACCAATGGGGGCATTGAAGTCTTGGGCTGATATTCACTCCATGGACAATTGGTGATGCTTGCGCTGGGGATATTGTTGATTCGTGCTGCGGCATTTAATGTGACCGATGAAACGTGTCTAAATCGATGATGTAGAGGTGAAATAAAAGATACGACTCGTGCAAAATATGATGTTTCGCTCAAGCGACTTTCGTGGACTAAAATCGGGATAACGCGAGCTGAATTGATTCGGTGAGTATAAGGTTGCAAGGTCGTTGAGAGAGTGTCGTTGGTTTTGGGGGAGACTGTTAGTGGAGCGATAAGAAATGATGCAACTATAGCAGCGAACATAACTTTATCTTATCGCGCACTATTTCCACCCTAACGGTAACCGATATGCAGGCTTGAACACTGGGTTGAGCGCTTCAAAGCGGCCAGACAAAGAAACTTTCAATGTTTCGGAGACATAGAAGGAACACAATAATGTTCACATACTTATCATGAATGGGAATCACTGTTCAGGCACGCCACTAGAACATTGAGCGAAACCACTGTCTAAGGAATAAAGACATTCCTGATTGATATAGACGAACCTCATGATATCACAGACAAAGACCTGCCATAGCAATAAAATAACGACAACCCCATGATGTCCACAACCGTTCATTCCAAACATCCAAGCATCCTGAAATCTTAACAAAAATGATCAGAAACAACCCCACCACACAATACCCAGAGCACGACGATGAGGAGGAATGGCCTCTAGGCATGCGGCATTGGGCACTGCCATTCATCCTGTTCCTCATGTACATCAAAATTGCCAACTATCTCAGCACGTCATATGATAGTGTGTGTATGGAACGAGGTGGCCTACCGATCCAAAGATTCAACGAATGGTCGCCAAAACTCGACGATATCAAAATTGATATCCAGAATATTACACGGGAACTAAACGACAAAGAGACGTCACGAACTCTTAACGCAATTTATATACCTGTGGATATAGCTACCAGCCTTCGAAAAGAAAACCAGCAGCTGAAAGAAGCTATTGACTGCGAGTTCGATGACGAGAGACTTGTACAAATCGCGAAGGAGAGCGTAGAACAGCAAGTTCCAAGCGACCCTGAGACCCTGTCCTATTCAGAAAGGAGCGCATAGATATCCAAGCCTATATATTACTCGGCCGGTTACGGAAGCTACAGGAGCCCAGAAGAGAGATCTGGGCAAAGCTCAGCGGTCAGTTCCGCCAAGACCTCAGCAAGATCACCTACAACGTATGCTATGCTTCTACACAACTCGAGAACCTTGCACGAGAAGCCAAAACGTTCAATAAGCCGACGCTGCGACAATTGCAAAAGGTAAGTGTTGCCACATACGTTCTTTGCCGAGAGAGTCGTAGCGATGCTCAGAAACTCAATGAGTTTGTCGATCAGCTTGGCGTTCAACTATCACTTGTTGAAACAACGATGAACAGGGCCAATGGGCTTTTTCGTGACATTTTTGCGACGACACCAGGTGTGACAACACTTTGGAAGTACTGGATGGCTAAAGGGGCGATGACAGAGGAAGAACTTGACAGCTACGAGGCCGAACGCATGATGATTGGAAGAGGTGTGATCAATATGTTGGATGGGGGGTTTGTTTTACCTGAGCCGGTCTCAAGGTGAAGCCTAACCTGGTTGGCCACGGCGGAATGGATGAAGACTTCCGCGATCCAATCGTGTCTCTCTTGAGAGGCGATTGCTTGGTTCTGCCAATGGTTTGCGACAAGGTGCGGGGGTAAAGACATAGTAGTAGTATTGGGCATTATCACGGAGAAAGATATCCGGCAGTCATACCTCATAGTAATTGCACCTATCGTCTTACTTATACAACACTGTGAATATGCATGCGTGTAAGAACCAAGCATCCATTACGGACTGCCTATTTCATCGTATCCGAAAAAGGACGAATACAAGCGAATCAAGCCAATATGCAAGTGACTCGATAAGATACGTCATTGGGTGTTGCCAATATGTGAGAGGAAAGGCAACTTGCGCTTTCACTATCTTGCAGGTGCCTTGATGGCCTATCAAAGCATCCGCCAAGCTCTGTTGGTGGGAAGTATCGCAATAATCGCCCATTTGAGCGCTCAGCTCGTCGGCAATGATACGCAAACAATACGGAGTATGCAACAATAGACGAGCTTTTTACTCGATGGAGCGAAACATGCATATAAGCCAACAGTCTTTTTACGGTGTGATAATATTCTGCATAGTGTCCTTGCTTCTGAATGGGAACTTGTGCATGAAGTCGTTGGGAATGAATTCGACCCCGCAGCTATGAGGCGATTGTGTTGCTTGTTCTGGTTGATGGAAGAGGATGTTGGAAGGTCAATAGTTGCCACTGAATTGATGGCGAGGGATTACTGACGGTGGCATGTGATGTGATAGACGGAGGAAACAGTGTTATAGCCTGTATTTTGTGTTTGGATCTTGACGCGAATTAACGTCCAATAGCCTTGTTGTGTGTCAAAAAGCTCAAGCTTGAACAGCCGGACTATAATCTTCACAGATCCATTCACCGCGCTATGCAATAGCTCAGGGCAACTTATGCGTTCCCCTTTCCGTTGGGACACATTTTAATCACAGTTCTAGGTCATATCAGAGTCTTTAAGCTTGGTAATGATTACATCCATCCCTCGATGGCCACTCTGAGGACGCAAACACATCACTGATCGTTACACAAAAGCCGTTGATCACGCTGCATAATGCAAGCTTGCATCCTATATGCATTGATAGTCACACACGAAGATCCCCTTCAACAGGAAATATGAACGCCACAATTCAGCGGTTGTGGGAAGCATTTATGGTGGAAGAGACTCTCTTCATAACGCCGGTAGGCCGCCATCAATCTCATCTAGCCAAGCAATTCTATGCCAACCGTCATGCTGAACCTCTCAGTTTCTCAAGGGCTTATGCTCTCTGGTGCAACTGTATGTACATTCTATCATCTGCCTATCACTTACTTACTCCAGTATTGTAGTTTGCATCGTGGATCATCGGCGTTATTATCTACAGGTTGTACTTCCATCCCCTCGCAAACTTTCCAGGACCCAGATTAGCTGCATGCAGTGAGGTAATGTCTTCCTGGCTCCCCCTTTGCCTTCATAACTAAGGCCTTGAACAGTTTTGGTTCCTGCACAATTGGGCCAGCGGGTACTATGTTCATAACATCGGCAACCTGCACCGCAAGTACGGCGATGTTGTCCGAACTGCCTCCAATGAACTCAGCTTTAGGTCTCCGGTCGCACTCAGGGACATCTACAATCATGCTTCCAAAGACAGACCAACGTTTTTGAAGAGTGACACCCTCTATACCGTTGACCCGTCTATCCCGCGCCCTGATATTGTGTTCACTAGAGATCCACAAGATCATCGGATGCAGCGAAGATCTCTCGCTCATGCTTTTAGTGCAAAGGCCTTGAGGGATAATGAAGAGTCTGTCCAGTTTCACGTCAAGTTGCTCCTAGAACGGCTCGCGCAAAATGCAGGGCCTGGGACTAGAGGAGCGAACATGTCAGAGGTCTTCAACTGGCTGACCTTCGATATTATCGGTAAGTAACCTTCTCGGCACTCACAATCAACAAGGCTGACCAGAATCCCCAGGCGATCTGACATTTGGTGAATCATTTGACTCGCTGAAACAATGGAGACCTAGCGAATGGGTGACTTGGATCCTTGGATTCGTCTCTTCGCTCACTTTTCTCCCCTTCATCAACCGCTTCAAGATCCCAATGACACTAGCCGTGTCTGTGATGCCTAGCTATCTCAAAGAAAAGATCGATATTCATACAACTGAGAAGGTCAAGAAGCGAATCAAAATGGGAAACTCCCGCGACCGTGAGGATTTCTTTGCTTATATCCTCAGGAAAGAAAGTGACAACCTAGATCTTGTTCATTTGCGTGAGCAGGCTAAGGTCCTCATGATCGCGGGGTCTGAGACGACAGCAAATCTACTTGCAGCTGCGACTTATTATCTGCTGAAGAACCCTGACAAGTTAGCCAACCTTCAGGCTGAAGTGCGCTCGGTGTTGTCGTCACGAGACGAGATTACGGGTGATGCTGTAGCTCATCTTCCATACTTGAACGGCGTCATCGAAGAAGGTCTTCGTATCTTCCCTCCAGTCCCGTTTGGCCCCCCGCGCGTCTGCACGGGGGCCACAATCGATGGACACTACGTCCCCAAAGGCGTCGTTGTATCTGTCGATGGATTCGCAACTACGCACGATGAGCGCAACTTCACTCGACCAGATGAGTTTCTACCAGAACGATGGGTCGGCGAGGGGTTTGGGGATCGAAAAGAAGCTAGTAAGCCCTTTTCACTTGGCCCTCGAGGTTGTCTGGGTATCAATCTTGCGTACATGGAGGCGAGGGTGACAATGGCCTCCCTCGTTTGGAAGTACGATTGGGAGCTTGTCAATCAGGATCTCGACTGGCTCGCCAATGTCAAATTGCATCTAATCTGGCAGAAGCCGAAGCTCATGGTTCGCTACCTTCCACGAGACGAAGTAGCAGCTACTTGAGAGAATCTCACACTGCATATAATGGAGGCACCCGCACCCGATAAGGAGTCATTTAATGCCTTTGGCTGTTTCGCTCCTTACTATGTCGACTCACTCCTTCAAGACTTCGGTCAGCGACACGGAAGAATGATGTTATTATGCACCAGGAAGGTCGTGTTTTATGCATGTTCATAATTGTTATGTAGTTCAGCATAGTTTGTTAATTCAAACGGTCGGACTGAAACACCCCAATGCTAAACTAGCTCGTCTTCCATTCTTCGTGGCGCACTACTTCAGCTGATCGGCGGTTATACGAACTTTGGACCACGGAAGGGAAATTCCTTATCGTCAGAGGCGCTTTTAGACTTGGCAGCCCTGTCAGGGGTTTAGCGCCTCAATCGTTGTCGAAGGTTGCTGATCTATCAGAGGTAACATGATTTTTATCATGATGTCAAGGCTTGAGGCCTCAATTCCTCCTCATTTTCAGCACATACTGGTCACGCTTAGAGATTAGAAGAAGATTTGTGATGGTATTAAAATAACTTAATTATGCAAAAATGGTATCAAAACTCGCTAGTCTATGAAAGCACAGCCTTGTCGGCCTTGAGTCTCGCAATCACTGTGGACATATCCACGTCTTGAATGTTCACGCCTTGGTCGATAGCAAGGCACGCAGCAGTAGCAGCACCCTGGCCCATAACCATATACGTAGGCTCCATGCGGATAGCGGAGTAAGCGATGTGAGTGGCGCTCATGGTAACGGGGTTGAGGAAGTTTGTCGCGTCGCTAGGCTTGGGGAGAAGAGCCTGTAGAGGAATGTTGAAGGGGCCGGGAGTAGCGATGTGGACTTTGCCCTCGTCGCGGATCTCTCCGTTGTAGACGATTCGCTCGACTTGGTGAACATCGAGAGAATAAGCACCCATACCGATGCTGTGGTTAGGTCGGGATGGGGGAGTCTGGATATCGCTTTGGCGCATGGTGTAGACTCCGTTCATGCGACGTCCCTCTCGGATGTAGATCTCATAAGGCCAGTTGCCATTCTTGGTGTACTCATCCTTGGCGTATCCCCATTCATTGACTCTATCACGCAGAGACTTGGGAATGCGGGGATGGTTGGCCATGGCCCAGAAGAAACCCTGAGTGTAAGACTTATGTGTAAGGTAGATCTGTCTTCGCTTGTCATAAGACCAGAGAGCGTAGTTGCCATCATCATCGTAGTTAGCACCAATCATATCAGTGCTGACTTGACTCTGAGCATTAGAGTCGGTCTTGATGTTGGGCATGAGCTGTGATGTGAAAGGTGTTCCAGTGTATCCGGATTCGTAGTAACGGAAGAGGAGCTCATAGCGAGACTCGACGTAGTCGGCAGGCTTGGTGAAGGGGATCCTGTTGTTGGTCTGCTTGGTGAGAGTCATGCGGAAGTTGTAAGACTGAAGACGATAGTCATCGCCCTTGCCCTTCAGGGAAGCGGCGTCCTTGACAACTCGGCCAACACCCTCGATGAGGCCACTGCTTGAGTCGCCCTTCTTCTTCCAGGGGTTGACCTTTGAGAGTTGATCAGAGCCACCAGGTCGGAAACCAGCGGCATCTTCGTTGTAGTCACTGATGCTCTCGCGTCCAGTGCTGTATGAGATACCAGCGGCCTCCATGAGATCACCCTCGTAGCTGGCGTCGATGAACATCTTGCCCTTGAAGACACTTCCCTTGGTAGTTCTGAAAGAGGTGATCTGACCATTCTTCTTGGTCACACCGCTGCTGGATCGATCAATGGGTTGGTTGCGGAAGATGGGAACCTTTCCATCCTTCATCCACTTCTCAAGAATGGACTCAGCAACCTTGGGTTCGAAAGTCCACTGAACCTTCTTGCTCTCGTCAATAGCAGGACCGGGCTGGGCTCCAATCTTTCGTGCGACATATTGTGCGCGGGTCTCCTGTGTCCATGGGCTGGTCTTCTGGTAATAGGTATAGACCTTGCCGTAGAACTCTCTGGCAATGCCACCAATAGAGCTTCCCTTCTTAGAGTCTGTCCATCCAAGACCCGATGTCGTCAGACCACCCAGCGTGTTACCGGGGAAGACGATAGCAACACTCTTCTTCATTCGCTTTGTCTGCACAGCAGCTGCTATCGCAGCTACTGTGTTGCCGTAGATGACGACATCATACTGGACATCTGCTCTTTCGGACGGGGCAGCTGAAGCAGTTGTCATGAGATACGACACCATCAAAATGGTGAAGATAAAGATGAGGAGACGATTCCTCAGTAGAGCTGCCATTTTGGTTAACAAGCGCATATGACCTTGCAGCTTGAAGGTGAGGAAGAGAGTGAAGAGGTTAAGGAGGGAAAAGAAAATAAGGTATTAAGGTAAAATGAGTGGCGTGGAAGTTTGATGGCGGAACAGGACGCCCACGACCAAACAAGGGAAAGATTCAGATGACAATGGTTTTATGAGCGATAGCAGTGACATGCAGTGGCGGGCCAGGGGTTGAGTAGTCTAATCTTGAGCACAGAATAAGGTAGCGACATCTCGTATTTCTAGGGAAATAAAAGAGGCCAATTTGGGGACCAACAGATTTAACCTCCGGGGTCTAGACCACAAGAGTCTGTTGGTCACATTCTAACCAAGACTGCTCTCGCCGTATTACGGCATGGCCATACCAAAGGAACAAAAAGAAAAGGGCTAGACAAGCAAAAGGCATATCGTGCGCGGATCTTGCTGGATAGCAAGGGAGACTTGGGCTGTGCTGTGCAGTTGTAAATCTTGGCCCCCCTCCCTTACCTCGAGACTATTGACAACACTATCGACACTGGACAAAAAAGAAGCCTCAACTTACAGTAGCCGAAGAGCTTGAATGGATGCGCCCAGACGGGCGAGGGTCTGTGTGTCTGCGCTTCTAAATCGAGGTCATTCCTTGTAAATTGCCATTCGCGCAGCTTTCGTATAAACGACCGAACAGGCATTGTGTGGCAGCCGACCAGGATAGGAAAACGCCGGGCAGCTTCGAGACGAGACACCCAAAGCCAAGACAATCGGTTAATTAATTCAGTGCGATCAAGACTTGAGAGGGAGGGAAGAGCATGTGTTGGAGATTTTCGGCCCTTGTTAGAAATGGGGTTAGTTATGAACCCTTGATTAGCGTCATGGTTCAGGGGTTGTTATGCAGAGAAGAGGGGGGGAACGGGTTCCGGACTTTCAACTGTTGCGTAGCGAAGCGCTATTTATTCTGAGGTTTTTAGTGCCCTCCGCGTGCTACGGTTCCGGCTAAGGTGCCGTTTTGGCGCTGCTGGATCTGAACTCTGATGCGATTTTACAGGGGGTATTCCTGGTACGTACCCCCAAAACCTCGTAAAACTCAATGGCCTCATTTTACTTGCATCGCGAGTGTAAACAAGGGAGATTCATGAATTATCATTTAATCAGCGGCATATCCGTTCACAATTTTCTCTCTAGTAACGAGCTAGAATTGTTGGCTCTAGGCGGATCACCATTCAATAGTCTCGCCTTCTCACCAGTCACCTTGAAGGCTATCACATCACTAATGTACCTACAGTGTCGATCGCTTACCTACAGCAACAGGCCAGCCAACTTCATGATCTCATCTTCGACAATCTCGACCTGGACCTTGACCTGGCCCTGGCCCTGAGAGCTTTGGTCAGCTTACAGACCCTCTTTCTTCTATCACGGCAGCCTCGGCATCTGAATGTCACCCAGCTGGGATTGTCACTGTTGAATCGATAGCCTTCAGGTTGACCAATTACAGGGCATTTAGCGCCGAATAGCGCTCTTTTTGGCGCAGCTGGGTGTGGTTCAGGCTAACGTAATAGTGGCCGGCGGTCGCGCACGCGCTCAATGTCATATCATCACTAAGCGGGTGCCCTTACCGAAGCGAAACGCCACATTCTGGTCGCTCGAATTACAAAATCTCGATGAAATGAAGCATGCGATTTTCAGTTGTGGAAGTGTCGATCAACGCTGCAAACGTTGATCACAACGTCGTCTTGTTTTTAACCTTTTGCTTATTGACTTTGTCTAATGACACCGACTCTTCTTGGCAATTGTTCAGCCGCAGCAGTCTTGCTCAAAACCGCACAAGGCTAGCGGTAGTCTTCATTATCTGCATTGTTCGAGGCCAGTCTTTTGTGCTGGCTTATCAAATAGCCTGATTTCACATCCCCTGATAGGTCAATGCCCTCTTCGACGTGTACAAACTTGGGTGGCCAATTGAAGAACCAATCACACTTTTACCAGGATTGAGAGCTTGCATTGGCTCCATTCCAAATCCGGCCAAGACCCTCATGGTGCTTTTGCTCCTGGGAATCTGCACCTGCAAGGCACAGTCCTCAGGGTCGAAATTCCTGGCCGAAAGTGATCGGAGACTCGGTCTAACAATGCTGCGGGTACGGATAAGCTACAGGGTTGGTGATCGAGAAACCTTCAGATACGAGTTTGCGTCTTGGCAGCGTAAGCTTAAACATGATCACCACTTAAACTTGCAGGACAAGGTCACCTGCTTTACCACGTCATGCTTAGTCTGTGTGATAAGAACAAGGCAATTGTGTGGTGCCTGTTATGTAGCATTCTAGGCAGACGGTCCCTTTGTGCATGTTGAGATAGGGTATAAGCGAGCTGGCCGAAGCGAGTGTGCCAAGATCGATACATCATCGGATGGATTCACAGCCCTACGCTCCCCAAGATTCGGCTGTTTCCTGTTACAGTAACATGCGCCAGTCGCTTCTACTCTAACCGGAGAATTGCTGCACTGCCATCACCTGTTCCGGAAAGTCAGCACGGCTCAATTCTTAACAAGACACCCTATTGATGACCACGTGGGTGTCTAAGACGTGGCTGTGTAGTGAAACAACCTCATATCCGAATTTCCAATGACGATTAGGTTTATCACCTTCGTATATGCATCTGCACGGGTGGCTGAATAAGGTTAAAATGGTTACGCTAACGGTCTCAGTTCGTAAAGGGTTTTATCCTGCCTGTTCACCTGAACAGGCACTTCACAAGGCCGTAAGATTCGAACTACAAAGATGAAATCAGCCTGTTCGTAGACTCTCGGTAATATCTTGTTAATCAAACGTTATGCTATGTATTCCTTGGCGTTTCTCATCAAGGACGCCTACGACTTGAGATGATGGCTGGCATCATATGGTTCGATGCGCCTAGCTTGACGAACCTTTGCTGTTAACGATTTTTGCTTGATTGAATCATAACACATGACTAAAGTCAGCTTGGACAGGACCCTTGGAAACCATTATACTTTTATAAAAATATCAGCATCCGCTAAGTCCTGGAACGGGAGATGATGCAATAAGTTGTTACATTAGTCAAGACTATACAACATTTATCAATAGGAACTTGGCTAGTCAAGGCATGCATCAAGCTGGTTTTCAGTATAACCATCTATGTTTGAATAGGATACTGCTATCAATATTAAACTTAAGGGAAGCAACCACGCACACTCAATAATCTTCGGGTCAGCGTCAATACAGAAAGCACCTATTTATCTTCTACTTTTTTAATTTTTTTTTCTTTTTGTATTTTCATAATTTTATCTGTAATCCAAAGCCATAGGATACTGCTTGTAGTAAGCTGCATTCATCCTGTAATACACCAGATAACTCCTGTATCATGTAGTAGAATTGTAGAAGGTAGTCCAAGTCACCAAACCTTGACGCCAACCAAATCTCAAAAAACAAGAGCAACCCGCGAAAAGTCTCAATGGAGAAAAATGCCATTGTTTATTGTAAGCCGTCCTCGAAAACCTCAACCCTGTGTCGTGGGCCGGGCCAATACGGAGTGTTTGGCGCTCGATCTGCAATGAAATGGATTTGACCACCAGGTCGCACGAGGTCCTTGAAGAGGTATAGCCAGTTAATCGGTTTAATTTGCGCGGCCTCCCATTTGAACTCATGGTTGTCCTCAAGATAGGCAACCCATGCTTCCTCTCTCCCTCCCTTGCTATCTGGAGTCTGTATATCATATCTGAACAGACATGGGACACCTAGGAGTATCAGTGTCTTTAGGTTTAGATAGCGCGCCATCTTGTTGATTTGTAAACCGAGCAGGGGTGCCCTTTGGTGCGTCATCTGTTGAGTCATATCAATGCAGAGCGTTTCGAGACTTTGCAGCAGTTCCCACTTGGGAATCAACGGAGACGTCCGAAGCTCCTCTCGATATCCGTTCAGATAGTAGCTCCATCTATTGATTTCACGCACAGTGGCTAGATCACCATGGAGCAGATTAAGAGCATACCTTATATCGCCTGCAGAGACGTTGTTCTCTCTGATCATGAGATGCTTTATCTTTTGGCACGCCAGCTTTTCATCGTCTGGGTGTAGACGACGAGTCAATGCGGTTTGTTCTCTAGTGATACCGGCGAGATGTCGAATATCTTCTTCGCCACCAATCTCAACTGGGACTGTCGCGATAAAATTTCTGTCGAGTAAGGCATATCCGATATAGCGAACGTTGATAAAAATGGCGGGATCATAGTTGGGTGGGAATGCGTGTTTATCCAGATTCAGAACTGGATTGGCTATGTCTTCGTCCAGACCGAGCTCAGCTACTATCGTACGCTTGGTAAGATGGCTGATCTCGAGCTCATGTGAATAGTCGTCCGAAGGATCAAACGGGAGGGCGGGTGTATCTGAAGCCCGGATGACTCCCGTGACGCAACGATGTTGCATCGGGAGAGCCTCCAGTCTTCCACGAGACAATGACCCGTCTCTCTGTTTCTCGCCACGGGTATAGATGACCGCGGTATGGTTCTGAAAACCGCCGTCACATCGCAGTTGGCCCCTAGAAAGATGGTTCACCAGACAGATGCAATCTTCTTCCGACTCTTCGATGATTCGAAGGCTGAGTTCTGGCGGAAGAAACGGCTTGCTTTGACCTGGAGTAGCACCTGTAGGCTGAGACATGATGAAGTACTGGATGAGATCTTGTTGCTATTTTGGTGTGTATATCTCAGGACCGAGGTTTGGTGAGAAAGGGAAGGTTTTGGTATGCAGTGACTATTGAAGTGGTCGAATGTTGGAAGACTGTTGGCTGGTGCAGTCGGAAGAAGCTAGAATTCCAAGCTTTGGCAGACGGAAGACTGTATTTGTAGGGGTGAGTCTCAAGTGACTGGCGCAATGCTGTTCTCGACATAACGCGGGATTGCCAGTGGTTCCGTGTTCAATATCACTGGCGTTCTTGACACTGCCAAAACAAGTTTCACCATGGTATTGCCACTATCTTCTCGGCGTCACAGCTACTCTATGAGCTGATTTGCTGGCAAAGTTGCGAACCTGCCAGTGCCAGAGCGAATAGAGCGTTAATATCTGAGTGAATTACATCTGTTCAGCTCGAAAAGCCTAATGAATCAGCGTCGTGACTGAGCGTACATCAAGATCAACATAAGCTCAACAAGGAAACCCCCCAGCACATACGACCATACCCACTGTTGAGAATTCGGGATCCCGTCCGCTCTCCCATAGACAAGCAAGTGAGGGGCGGACTAGTAGTTGGGTCGGTGATGACCAGCGAATACCCGCTGTTGTATGTTTTTTGTTTCTGAGGAAAGACAGAACATGCATAAGATCTTGATGCTTTTATGGCTTGCAAGGTCACATGCCCGATAAAGGGCAAGGGACTTTGTTCAGCCTGGTTACTACTATAACAGCATGTTCTGTTCAGTCTATGTTTCGCAAGAAGTAAAGGGGCAAATTATATGTTTTAACTGGCTGATAATACTATTTCCTAACGCATTTTCAAGCATCCAAGTTTCACGGGTGCGCCGGTAAAGACATGAAGTCCCTTTGCGTTCCCGTCGAGCATATAATAGTAGACATATCACCATGCCTTACTCACAACTACTTCAGTGCCCAACGAGCGTTCTTATATAACACCAAAGACAGAAAACCACAACCCTAGCTTACAAGCTTACCTGTATAGAACCGTGAGCTGTTTGTCACTATTATGATTTGCGAGAGTCCTTGATTGGACTTGAGTGCGAGGTGTTAAAAAGTGCAAAAAGCAAGGTATAATGGCGGAATTAAACCGCCTACAATGGACGAACAGGGAATCGAACCCTGGACCACTCCCAGATTATTCGGATGAATTATGCTAAGGGAGTATTATACCACTAAACCATTCGCCCGAAGGATATAACTCTCGCCATTTTTGACGTTCAACAAGGAAACGCAAACAGCGAAGTTGACGATCTCACTGGCTGCTGCTACCAGGCCAGCTGTCATCTTGAGTTGAAAACATTCAAGTCTATCGTGTTGACCCTTGGAAGGTCGGCACTAAACATCTTATACGCAGATGACCTCAATCCAAGACGTGTTAGGCAAGGTCGCTGCTACAAGTTGTAAGATCTTAATCGCCGAGCAAATGGCCAGATACACTGTGATCCTAAGATAGTGGCCAGCGACAGCCTGCCATATGTATTAAAAGTCAGAAGCCAGCTCAGCGCCTCTGCAGCCCCATCCCACATTCACTTTCACGCATCCAGTTACGATTGTCAATAGATAAGAGTCCCCAAATGAGTAGGTGGAGATTGCTGAGGGAGCCACGTGATTCTCAGGCAGCAGCAGCTATTCGAAGATGCTGCTTACATGCGCTATCTTGTCAGCGACCGATTTGCAATACTTACCTTGCTCACAAATTCTGATTCACGATTTTCCTCAATTTATCTATACTGCTACTCTTGAGATGGTCAATTATGGAGTCTCTCGCGCGTGCCAGACTTGCAAAAAGCGGCGTAAAAAGGTGCCGTGATCTGACCTTCAGCAAGTCAAGCTTGCTAATCATTCGTGACAGTGCGATGAAACTCGTCCAGTGAGTACCAAACAGGCATAGCCTGTAATCCTAAAGCACTAACGAAGGATTCAACAGGCCTGCCTTCGCTGTGTAAAGTCTCGAAGGCGGTGTCCTGGCTATAGAGACGATGCCTCACTGTTATTTCGACACTATCAGCCTACAACACCGCCGTTGGAGCGATGGCATCCAAGCAATGACTTCATACTTGAAGCTACTGCGCTTGATAATTTTCTTGATACTTTAGTGGTACAATCTCGTGATCGAAGCCATTCACGTGGTTTTCTCGATGGGATGCATTATCTCTTTGCTACCTCTGCTCCAACGTCGACTTTGATGAGAGCTGCCAAAATTGTAGTTCTTTCATCACTCGCAAACCGCTATAGGCGACACTCGCTGGATAGCTTAGTTAGGAGACAGTATGGGCAGGTTTTGGTTGATTACACCACAGATTTGTCGCGGCAAACTGCGAGTCCATCAGTAGAGCTCTTCTTCACTGCAGTTTTGTTGGGCTTATACGAGGTTAGTTCCTTACCGGCGGTGCGTTGATCGTTAGTTAAACAGTATTAGCTTGTAGCAAGTGACAATGCCTCTCCGACCAAGCATCTAGTACATGTTCGGGGCCTCGCGTCCATCCTCTCGAGAGGCATTACATCCTCGACACCAGAATCCAAAGTCGGCGTATATACTCCCGGAATGCGCCTTGTCACAAAAGGTATCATGGTACGTATCTCTTCACCGATAAAGTACCAGCCCTTGCTTACATCCATCTCGTCAGGCTCATCAAACAGGCACTGGCATTCTGTGCCCTCCTCTTGATGATGCCTATCGTCGATCTCTAGATGACATTATCATCAAGATGTCGCCTCTGACAAGTCAAGCGGAGAAGCTGCTCTCGGATCCCTCTCCTCCCGTGTTAGAGCTTTTGGAGCTGCAGAAACCCTTGTTGGAGATTGACGATGAGATCACGTACTGGGCCTATGACCGCCCCCCTAGCTGGAATCCAGAAGTGGTCGGTGAAGTCTGGATGAATCCAGCAATGTCAGAGGAAACAACGCTCTATTTTGCCGGACCAGTTGAGAAGTACTTCGACAGTAAGCTAACACTCCTATCATGTTTATGTAAGTTTGACCCTAAATTTGCTTAACAGTATACGTCGCAACTGCATGGAACTCATGGCGTTCAATACATGTCATCTATCTTGACCACCTCATACACATTGCCAATTCCCTTGGACAATACGAGCTTGTTCCTCTATATAAAGAACGAATTTATGAACTGGCTGCGGGTATCAAGGCATCCATTCCATTCCATCTATGTCACGACGTTGAGACCTACATCCAGCAAGCAAATGCTGGAATTCCTCTTGTTCCTTCAGATCGGCTTGTTGGAGGACTTTTGCTTCTTCATCCTATATATGCCCTTGCTCGGTGTACCATAGTTGATGACTCAACAAGAAGGTACATGTCCAAAACTCTGAGGTGGATCGGTGATGAGATGGGAATTCGACATGCGACCATTCTTGCGAATGGCCTTCAGCCTGATATGCAAGGACCTTCTGCGATGCAGAGCTCCCAAATCTCCTTCATCGACGCACTTGATGGACATTTCCTGATCACCGCGAGTATGATGTTAGAGCCTCATAGGTCCTAAGAGCTGTTTGGCATGTAAGGCCTCAGCAGTGCTCTGTAGGAAAGGTCTACAGAACCGGGCATAAAGACCATTTTATTCGCATATAGACTATAGAATCGATGAGAAACGTAGCATTCCTTTACTTGCAACATGATCATGTCCATCTCGATCCGTGCTGAGACTGACATCCTCCCAGCTACTTGCAAGCTCAAGTTGCTCCTTGCACTTCTGCTCTATCAACCGTAATGCATCACTTCCAAGAATGACTCTCACCGGCTCCGGCCTTCCAGCACTGGCACCCTCAACCTTAACGCAGTCCACGATGCGTTCTGACAGCTTGCTGATATCTCCAGGCACATTCGGGCCTATATCCGAAATGAACACGTCCATCAACTCCTCAAAACCGGGATTGTAGGCCTCTAAAGCGGGCTTGTACTTCCCAAACCCTTCCACTGAACCTTCGCGAGGTTGGCCAAGTTGAGACGGGAAGCCACCAGGCTCAAAAATGATGCAGCGGATATTGAATCGTTGGACCTCCTTTGCCAGGCATTCGACAAAAGCACCGAGAGCAGCTTTCGAAGCGGCGTAGTGGCCCAAGAAGGGCAACGGACCCCAGCCAACACCAGCTCCGATGAAGGCGATGGTACCACTTTGTTGGGCCCTGAAGTATGGCAAGATAGCTTGAGTGACATGCAGCGTTCCAAAGAGGTTGACGTCAAAGACGTTACGCACAAAGTCGTCACTGCGAGACTGTCAGTATCTGTTACCAATGCCAGGTTAGGTAACCTACTCTGCCTCCTCAATACTCTTGGGTGCTGAAATTCCAGCATTGTTCAAGAGAACATCGATGCGTCCCCAAACATCCCAGGCTTTCTTTACTTGCTTGTCGATCTCAGCTCGAGGCGCAGTGACATCAAGATCGAGAAGAAAGACATTGTCAGACTGCAAATGCTTGAGACGTTCCGTTGCCCCTCTTCCCGTCGCGATGACCTTGTCACCTCTCGCAATGAGGTTCTGCACCACTGCGGCACCGAGACCCGAAGTAGTAGCTGTTACTAGCCAGACTGATTGAGGCATGTTGGGTGGCTCTTGGAAGAAGTTTCGTACTTTGCAGATAGTGATAGATAATACTACTTATAGTCCAGAGAAGAATGAGCATTGTGGCTGCTCAGCTCGCTATCGAGTAACCTCTCCAGCCAAAAGTTCGCCCGTCTTCGGCAGGTGCTCCTCTACCATTCAGCCCTGAAGCCCATGAGATGGATCTTGGTCCCATCCGCAAAACCCATATCGTTTGTTCATTGGGTCAGTTGCGATAATTATCAGAACAGCGCAAAGCTAGCTTGTTTCGGACGAAGCGAATCTGTGTTTTTGAACGCTATTATCTGACAAGCATGAGTCAAAAATAACTCAACCCGTGATTGGCGGGCTGCATGACGACATTTTCATGATTGTGACCCTTTCGTGTCACAACGGCACAGCTTTTGAG